TGCTGTGTGAAAATGTCTCACATTTAGCAGCTCTGAGTGCGTCTGCCTATGAGGCATAGGCAGATGCACTCAATACACATGCCAGGATTTTGGAGGGTTCTGGATCCGTTTATGCTGAGCTCTAGTGCTGACAGTGTTTAGCCGGGTGAACTGCACCCAAGGCATATGTGGGACTGCATGAAAAGGAATAAGGCTTTGGGACTGTACAAAAGGCAAAGACAAGTTTGCTACAAGAAAGGGAATTCCTTATAGGAATAACCTGCTGCAGTTGCACTCACTTTTACCCTGTCACAATTATTTTCCTGATGGTCTCTACAGATATCTGAAGGAAGGTCTCTCATGGCTGCTTCATGTTTTGTATTTTTTGAGATTTGATTTACAAGGGTGGAGGATCTTATTTAGGTTTTGCCATAGTATTGCTATGATTAAGCCAAAGTTAAATAAGGCACTGTGAAAAAACCACAACAGCACAAGAGGGAGGAATATTCTGATAATGAAAAGCAATAAGATATTAAAGGAAGAATCAGTAACCGCTTTGAAGGTGGGGTAGCTGTGTTGCTGGATAAAGAGATGCGTTTGAAGATGCCTATGAAAAAAATAAGTTGCTGCAGCCCTGCATCCTGCAACGTGTTTTCTGTGCTGGATACATAGATTAAAAGCTGCTATAACGTCAAACTGGGTGAGTAGCAGCACTGACTGAAATAAGTGAGACAGAAAGCAACACTGAAAGCTTGCAAGTTTGCAAACAGCAAGTTTGAGAATTCTGTATTTGAAAAACAGCTTGTGTTTCCCCAAGTCACTGTTAAATCATTCAAAAAAAAAATAAAAAGAAAAGAGATTAAGACCTATGCAGTAGAATATCCCATCAGTTTGTTTCTCTCCATTCCTCTGATTGTGGGCTGCCTGGCCGACGGAGCTGCCACTGCAGGTTAGGAGTTGGAGCGGCTCATTTGCACATCTGATCCAAAGGAGTTGCACCACAGCCCTGAAACAGCAAAACAAAGGGGCCTGGTGTTGATCATCTGCCTGGAGTTATGGCCCCATAGTTTCTTCCACGGTGAGACACAGGCTGTGGGTTACTATCTCCTAACTGGTATTATTGTTTGTGTGGCTCCAAAGCTTTTTACCAGGATTTTCAAAACTTCTATCTGCCTCCAAATGCACCATTCTCCATTTGAATGTGAAATGATAACTGCCTGGAGGTTTAAAAGAATTTACAGTAAGTGTTTCAACACTGCTTCATAGGTACCCCTCCAAACAAACGTGTCAGTGCCAAGCCAGTTAATGTTACCAAGGATGCCATTCTTTAGAAATGAAGTCCTTCAGCATTTTTTCTTCTGGACAATTGAGCAGCCAAAAAATTCATTGCTGTCTATGCAGCTGCTGAAATTCTGTGGAGTTTCTCCTCAGAACACCTCCAAACTTGTGGTGGAAATTAAAATTTGTGCTGCCTTTAGCTCTGTACATGTTCACTTCTAAGAACTAAATGCTCCTGTGGTGTCATCTGAGCATGGGTTGCTGAGCGAGCAGTTCTCATATGCCCAACTGTAACATGCGGTATAACACGGGGAAAATAACCCAGAAAGTGAGAACAGTGGTGTGATGTGATGTCATCTGTGTCTTACTCCTCTTCTGAAGAGGAGTATATCTTTGCATGTAATGATTGTACACAGGGATTTAAAGATTTGAACTTTTATGCAATATTTTCTGAGTGAAATTTGGAACTAGAGTCTCGAAGTCATGCCAAATGTAATTCTTACTTTAAGCACCACAGACTGAAGGACAGTCACCTGATGTTCTGTCAGTCAAGAGTCGTGATCCATCAGTGCATCCAGCCCAGCCATGATCTGAGAGCCAAGTCTATGTGAAGAATAAGCTGTAGGAAAGTTCTCCAAAGAACCTGTTATCTAATCAGCAATGCAACACAGCACTGTTACGAAATAAGTGGTTAATGTGTAACCGTCACCTTGTTTCTGTGTAGACAAGATCTGACCTTAAGCCCAAGTTTTATGTTCTGTGGTTACCCAAACGTACCAGAACTTGTTCTGCAGACACTTCTAACCAAGTAGAGAAGCTTTCAGTCTGTTTATGCATCACTTGTTAGTTATATCCATGGTATCCGAGCATTCTTCTCTAGACAGCACTTTTCAGTATACCACAGATTACAAGCCTTCCTTATGCAGCTTCTCTTCAAATATCCATTTGCACTTCACTATGGATTAGTAATAAAGCCCTCTGAGAAAGTTTTTTACTGACTGTTTATTTTCACTCCATATTAGTACCATGCATAGTTTAACAGGGCTGAGGCCTCCAGATACTGTTTTTCCCTGCATTGACAGCCAGATTGAGATGCCAATGTACATGTCTTTCCTGAGCAAGAGTGTCATATGGTACTTCGGTATAGGGATACACATCATATGACTTGCCCTCTGTCAGTAGATGGCCTCCAGAGTTTGGTACTTGAGAGGTGTCCTACTTGCAGGGAGTTGCTAGTTGCAGCCCACTGTGATCCAGGAGAGCTCAAAGGATTTCCATCAGAATCACTGTTTATAGGGTCCAAGATAACTGACATTTGTCAGGGAATTTTCCTTACCAGTCCCTTTCTGTTTGTGTGCCAGAGATGTTCTTTGAGATGTACCTCTAGTACGAGGTATGGGGGGTGTTGGCCTGTCAGGAGATGTTGGACTATTCTTGCCACTTCTAGACAACAGGGAAGGCACGGGGACACCTTCATACTCTGGCAGTCACCATCTTCCGCACAGTAGGAAAGGTAGGAGCCAGACATACTGTCTTTCACAATCACTACCCACAATTTCCCAAGTCGATTCACTCTCTACCCAGTACCAAGTCTCAGAAACAACGGGGGAAAAGCGAGGAGGGAATTGCACCACCACAGTGGGACAGTGTCAAATGCTTTGCACAAGTCCATCAGTTGCTCTTCCCTTATCCACCAATGCTGTAACCCTGTCATGGAAGGCAACCAGACTTGTCAAGCACCATTTGCCCTTAGTGAAGCCACGCTGGCTGTCACTTCGTTATTTTCCATGTGCCCAGTCATAGTTTCCAGGAGGATCTGCTCCATTAATCTTACCAGGCACAGAGATGAGATTGACTGGCCTGTAGCTCCCCACGTCTTCCTATTTTCCCTTTCTAAAAGTAGGGGTTATGTTTCCTCTTTTCCAGAAGTGTCCCAAAATGCATGGAGCCTGAGCTACCATCATTGCACAGGAGCCTAGCGGAGGAACATGAGTGGCTGGTGTGTCAGCATAGCCTGCAATGTTTGTTTCAAAACGGAAATGAAGCCCAGCAGATGATAATGCACCATGTTCTGGGCTTTATCTTTAGCTACAAAAACAAGCAAAATGTGGCAAACAAGAGCTCAGCAAACAGCTAAATAACCATGGCAATGCAGAGCCATGTGACAGCTGTCATAATACATGGCTCAGGGAGTGCAGCTGCCGTTAGACCAGTGATAACGCAGAACTTAACTCTGTTCTCCAATAAACGATTCCTGAAATAGCTTGTGAACCCACATGTGCAAGAAGGCCTCTCATAGTTTGTATTCCAAATGCAATTATTTTGAACTTCACTCTATCAGGTACCTTTTAATGCAACACTTGGGAGGTGATGAACAAGCAGAGAGTCACAATCCTGCAGGAACACTGACCAACAGGTCATTCTCCAGGTTCCTCTGGTGCTTGTATAACCCTGAGCTGCAGATGTTTCAACAACCCTTCTCTCCTGCAGCTTGCTGCATTCTGCAGCTTGCCTTTTCATGCTCCATTTGCCTCTTTGCCCTGTGAAAGATGTAGTTTGTGGCCTGTGATGCCCATGCCTTTGGAGAAGGACAAAGAGGGTCCCACTGGGATTCCTTGCATGCTTGTAGCAGTAATAACCCCTGGCACTGCTTGGTGTGTTGAAGGGCCCTGACCTACCTGATCTAGCATTTAAGTGTGGCCTGTGGTAGAACATACCACATGGTGACTCTCAGAACCATAAAATGCCATTATGGTGTAGAATTAAAATGGGGGAAACTTTAGAAAAGAGGGATTTTCCGTTCTGGATGAAACACTGTGATTTCAGAGTGATAACTCATCTCATATCAAAATAATAAGCTTTAGAAAAGTCAGACAGATTTTCCTGTTGTGATCACCAATCAATCAGTTTGAATTTATCAAAATGTTATGTTTGATTATATAATATAGGACAGCGAAGACTGTATCATAAGTATGACCAATGCCTTGAGATATGATCAATCTTGTGACAGTTGAAAGTGTCCTGGTGAGACTTTGACCAGAATCACAGCTTTACTTGGCATGTTACTGACATTTCTAATCTGGCTGAGTCAAGCCTGAACACCATGTTGCTGACAAGTGGGAATGGAAGGACATAAAGCTTTTCAGGAGAGAAACATCTGCAAGTGACCACATGAACAGTTCTCTGCATACAAAGAGTTATCATGAAAGAGCAATATTTATCTGTGTTAAACCACAAATCATACCTAGCATACACCCATTGTTGCTTTCAATAGCTTCTTTAATGACCATAACACAGTCAGAATACAAAAAATGACAGAGGCCAGAGCAAGAGCATTGTCGAACAAATTGAAAAGTAAGTGATGCTGGTTACATGCTCACATTTGTTTATGCATTTAGCAACAGAAGCAACACACAATGTCTTTCCACGACATAGTACGGGACACGGGGGTGACAAATGCAGGTGCAAAAGGTTACACAGCCCTGGGATGTCTCTTATCATGGAGTCTCTTTGCTTTGGCCAAATACAATAGTTGTTACACTTGTGGAGACTATAGGGAGGGAGAACCATGCAAGGCAGGATCAAGAAATACAGATTGGCAGTGCAGCAAGAAAGAGAGCTCTGCCATACCATGTGTCTGTGACAGAGGGGGAAAAAGCAATGCAAGCATGGGCAGAGATAGATCTAGGTCACAAGTTGCTTGCTGGGGCTGCATCTTCACTCAGCATTGCAGTTTTTGCAGTCTAACAGCCACAGCCCTTCCCAGGGAGAAGTGGACGCAGAAATGAAAGCCTGTCATTCAAATTGATTGCCTTGTAATTTGGAAGATGTTCGTGTTCTCGTGCAATGTAACAAATACCACCTCCATCAGGGTGTTGACATAACAGCCAGACACCTTTCTGGACCTTGTGAGAAGATGTGGTGTCATTGTCACGTCCCCTACTCAGATTGGTTGCTTCTCTTATCACCCTGCTCTTCCCCTGATATTGAGCATGTTCATAAAGAGTGATCTGGGGGTGGTGCAGATTTTCGGTGATCACCTGCAGAGAAGAGATCCTATCATTCATCTGTTTACCAACAAAATCATGTTCTCCCTCTTCAAATACCAGTAACCGGCCTGTATAGTTGGCATGCTGATAAGCCACCCAAGGCTGACCAAATACTTTCACAGAGGAAATACAATCATTCCAGTCTATATCTTTTAGATTGGCAACGTCACTGAACAGTTCTTTTGAGTAGCCCTGGAAGTTGGCATGCTCATAAATGATGATTTTTCCCATCTCAGCAGGACTTCCACAGTTTGGATTTCTTTCTGCAGGAGCCGGTCGACAGCCTGCAGAAATGGCAAACACAAAGTAAGAGGTGCTTGTAAGAAGCCTTGTGGCACCAGACACAGAATGCTGGAGAGTGGGAAAAAAGGCAAAGAAGGAAAAGTAAAACATTTTTAGCGAAGGATGAACACAGCAGAAGGTGGAATAGACTAAGCACATGACACAAAAATTTGATTTGGAAGAAAAAAGTGGAATAATATATGTACACCAAAACTGTCCAAATTTCTTTATCTGTGTATGTTGGTTTACGTCT